AGGGAATCTTTACCTAGCACACACTAAAATCAACAATAACAAAAACCAAATGTATAAGTAAACAAGAAAAAAAGCTATCTATATGTGGGGGCTTTAAAATCAAGTGGTGTGTAAGCAACCAACTAAGCTATAGATATCACGTGTTATTTTTATTATTACCTGCCTTCATATACCAATTACAAAAAGCTTCCAAAGTCACAGACAAGGAAAAAAAATTGCTGTTTAGGTAACTGGTAAACTACATCAATTCAGAATCTAATTTTCCAAATATTGATATAATTTCATTCTTACTTCAACTGTAAATTTTAATAGCAATATTTAAAAGAGAAAAAATAACATCCTTATTTTAAAATTTTTCATTACCATTTACTACAGAGACAGAGCATTCTCTATGAATTATCATTAACTTTATGCATATTCCTTTAAATAGGATACACTAGTTCCTCATCTTTGCCCAATATTCTTAGGTTTTCTTTTTTACTTAAGTTCCAAGGAACTCCTTTTAGTTATATACATATAAATTTTTGCTTATATGTTCTCAAATAGCTGTTAAATTGATTAAAATAAAATTACTCCTATAGTAGGATGTTGATGCACTGGAGAGAATGCTAGCAAGAATGAGGGCATGTGGCTAAACTGCCTCTTTCCCTTTAATCGTTCTGTGGCCACTTTACTGACCCAATTTACACCATTACCAAACTTTAAAACATATTAACATTTAATCCTCACAATAAACCTATGGGAGGGGGGATTATTTTAATCTCCATTTTACATTTAAGAAAACTGAAAGAGAGGGGTGCCTGCGCAGCTCACAGTCGGTTAAGCATCCGACTTTGGCTCAAGTCATGATCTCACAGCTTTTGAGTTCGAGTCCCGCATTGGGCTCTGTGCTGACAGCTCAGAGCCTGGAGCCTGCTTCAATTCTGTGTCTTCCTCTCTCTCTGCCCCTACCCTGCTTGTGCTGTCTCTCATAAATGAATGTTAAAAAAAATTTTTTTAAAGAAAAAAAGAAAACTGAAAGACAGAAATACATCCTAACTGATCTAAGATAACACAACTAATAAGAGGCAGAGCTGGGACCAGACCCACCAATGCTTTAGAAACCTTAATATACAAACAATTCCCCTGGGAATCCTCCTGAAATTCAGTTTTTGACTCAGTACTTCTGCAGTGGGGGAGGCAAGATTCTGCATTTCTGACAATCTTACGTGTGATGCAGACACTGCTGATCAGAAGATTCACCCTATGGGCGGCAAAGTTCTAAGCTACCCTAGAAAATGGTGGCAAGTGGTGGTAACCCTCAAAAGGAGGTAGAGTTCACCCACCATTAGACAATGCGAGGCATAGGAGTAAATCAGGGGTTGCCAACTTCTGGTTTAGAACTTAACTGCTTCTTTTATTAATTTTGTTTTTAAAAGAAGGATGTTAGCAAAATTACAAGTACTATAGTACTTTTCAGGTTTTGCAAATGAACACATTATAATAAATACTTGCTACTATTACACCTCCCTCCAAATAAGGCTTTTCCCACATCTAAAAACTATTACAAATGCCCCTGAATATCTACCTTTAACACAGATTCAATCTGAACATATTAAAGAATATTTTAAGAGCGTACATTTGTGCTTTCTCATAAATGGAAAGAATCAGAGGTGGAGTTAAAAATCCAGCAACTTCCTAAACTTCTGCCACTTGTAAAAGGGGTTACTGTGATCAGACAAGGGCACTCCCTGGGAAACAGATGGAAGGAACATAAACGTCTTAAGAGCACACTACTCAACAATTCTAGTCAATCACTTTCTCCAAAAACAGGAAAATGCCCAAACACAACCTCCCTCCGTTCTCACTGACGTATCAACTATGTATACCATAATCTAGAATATAGTATGCAAACAATATAAACTAAAGCCACTATATAAATATTATATCCCTATGTTTTGAATGCTCTGGCCTAAGGCACTCCAACACCTAAAAACTGAAATGCCATCAAATCATTGGAAATAACATTTTATCAAACTTTTATGCCATTAGGAAAAGAAATAATCGTTACTATCGAAATATATTCAAATATGTTTAAAGCCACACACTTAATTCAACAGTTAAGTCTATCCTAAGATCACCTATGGTGTACACATGTTAGACACAGCTATATACTAAGGGAATATATAACATAACAAAAAAAATATTTTATAAATAAAACACAGGAAGGGAGGAAGGGATCTAAGAGAAATCTTAGTCTCATTGGAGTAATTTTGGTTTTGCTGAGTTTTCTTGTATTTCAATCAACTTTTTCCTGAATGTACACAAATATACTTTACATTTCTTCCCTGAGGAAAAATTAAATCCGTCAAATACTGACAAGCTTGTAAAAGTTATTTTCGAAACCATAATGGAATTCTGATTAATTAACTACACATGAAAGTCCAACATCAAAGTCAGAAAAGTATTAGGTTTCATAGATTTCAGGCAATATGAATTCACAATTTTAGAATTTAATATAGAATCCCATTTTTAACTATAACAGAAATTAATAAATTTAACCTGTACAATCACTATAAAGCTAAAATTCTCACCCATGCACCTGTGAAGTACAAGAACACCACAATCTGTCACATATCAGACGTGAAGATACAAATACAATACAAATTCAGACTTAGCTGTCAAAATCCTGAAATGCCTCCACTAAACACTCAATATTCCAAATTCCTGCTCAAGGACAGGACTAGATCATATTCCACCTCCCAAAAAGCTGAAGACACTTAAAATAAAAGACACAAAAGGATCTATTTTGCACATCGGGCGCCTGAATAAGAACGTCCCCAAACTAGTAAGACACAACTTCTGCCAGTTCCCAGTTACGACTCATCACTTTGTTTGCTTTCTCTTTAGTCACACAGCACAAATAAACTCATATATTAAGAACTAGAGAACTGAAATATATAATTTGCATACTTTACAACCATCCCAAGTTGTGACAAGGGAAAGTGTAGATGATGTATTCCAGGTTATTGTTTGCAAGCCCACACGTTTGTTCGCTATTTCACTGATCACTAAAGGTGAAGCATTTCATGGACTGAAACGACATATGGTATATAGAGAGAAAAATAAACAAGTTAAACTTTCTGCCTCCTAGAAACATTCTACTTCCTGTAAAATAATCCTCAGTGACCTTGTGGAACCATTCCCGGGTTAAACATGTAAAGCATACTTCTTCAGCAACTGCAACATTACACTACTGCTCCAAGGGCATTCAACACATTCTCTACTGGGTTCTCTAGACTTAGGCACGTATGCTAGTTTGTGAAACCTTTAAAAATGTTTGACATTACATGCAATTTTAAAACATTTAAGAGTTCTGAATTGATAGATCTTTGTATCTTTTATAATGAGAAATATTAGGACACCCTCTGCAAGTTAAGTAATTCTTCAGAGAGCAAATTTAACTTGACCTCGCTAAATGGCTACAGATTTGACAAACCATTGAGGAAGGTGGAAGGATTTATTTATTCTCTAAAGCAGCACTGTTCCATAGAAATATAATGCATGCCACACACATAATTTTAAATTTTCTAACCACATTAAAATTGTAAAAAAGTAAAATTTTAAAACGTTCCATAAAACTTATCATATCCAACATATTATCATTTAACCACGTAACAGATACTTCTAAAACCCAGTAAGGTATTTTACATTCTCTGCTTCATACAAAGTTTTCCAAAATTTGATGTGTGTTTTACACTTACAGCACATCTCATGTTGGACAACAATTAAAGCAGTCACTAGCCACAAGTGGCTAGTGGCTGCATTACTGGACAGCACAGCTCTTAATACTTTGAGATCTGACATACCACTACCTGTTTAAAATTAGTTTACATTCATGTTTACCTTTTGAGCTGACATAGCTAATTACAAATATGAGCAAAACTGTTAATTCACTGAATAAATCAGAAGATCACCTTATCTAAGGATCTGGTTAATACACACAAGAGGCAACTGAATTATACCCAATTATATCTCAAGTAGACTTCGGAGATAGGTCAGATCATCACAAGTGAACACAACTTGTAACAAAAATATAGGTAAGACAAGAAAACATTTTCGTATCAGACCATAACACTGCCTGATTTCTAGCTGCCACTCTCACCCTGGAGCACATATCTCTATGCAAATTATCTACACAACTGTCCTTTCTAACTCTGATATATTTTGGAAGCCATATAGTCACTGGTGAAAAACAAAGCACTAGGTAAGACAAACTGAAAAAACGTTTAACGAAAAAAAAAAATTATCAACCAGTCACTTTTAATGCACCATATGCCAACTGACAATCTTAAATTATCCTACAGGAGTTTCACTGAAATGAGTTCTTCCTACAAATTCCAATTCATATACTGCTTTTCACACATGTATTTCAAGGACCAAAATTACCAAGAATTTTCCCAAGTAATTAAGACATTCGGTTAAAATGTAAATAATTCCAACAATGCATTCTCCAGAAAATAACTAGAAGCATTAGCTTAGCACATAAAATTTGTCCTTAAGGCACATTACTGAATAAATCAAACAGAAACTATACCCTTGTTTACTGCATTTACATTTTGTAACACCACATTCAGCAATTTCTAAATTTGGAAGGTCAGTTCAGATTGCACACAAGCAGTAACTTTAAAGCTTAGCAAAATTTTCGAAGTTTCTGCAATATAGTTCTGAATAAACACTCTACAGCAATGTTACAACAGAACAAAATCAGCACCATTCACACTAATCTCAGTAAGAAGCACAAAATCAGTATATTCATAAATTCCAAATGTATGATACATGCTAAAGAGTATTTTCCCCCAAACTTGTTTAATTCACCTTAGACAATTTTTGTTTCATGCACTTGCAAAGCTGAGAAGAAGCAAACGTAGCTGCTTCTGCAGCACACATATCCCAAGCCGATACATTAATCTCTTGTTATTTTTGCACATTTTGAAATCAAAACAAAATTTGTTTCTTACCTGCAGTTAGGAGGAGGATCGAGAGTTATTTCAGCTAGCTCCTTCTGAATTCTGTTAGTGAAATGAGAACAGACAAAAAGGATTTGAGATAGTCTACAGAATAACCGGGGAATTACACTGCCCTCTACCACCATGCAGTTAAATGCAAGGCTCGCTTTGCCTTCAGTAATGCTAACATGGCTGCTTCCTCTTTGTTCTCAGAGGCATAACCCAAATCCCTTAACAGAAACTTTGCAGCTTTTTTTCTCACTTGCTACTGTAAATAAGTATGACATTCACACCAGATCTTAGAAATAGTCCTCTACTAGTACTCAATAAAGGCTATAAAATCTATTTTAAAACACTTTTTACCAAAGAAATTCTCTTTTCAAGCTTATATGCAAATGAGACAAGAAGGGAGGAGGGAAAGCACTAGAATTTTTGACAATGACTTTAAGTCACTTTTACAGAGGTAAGAATTAGCAAGCTATTACATGAGCACAGTAACAGTTTTGACAATATTTTGTGTCAAAAAAAAGTTTAAAATTTACAAACATCTTGACCAGTGAAAAACTTCTAAAGGACTCTGACCTTACTTAACCAATTCTGTTTTCCCTAATCTTAAGTACAGCACTAAAATTGAATACATTTGGGGGAAAAGAAATAATAAGATATACAGCCTTGAGTTAAGAGGAGGGGGAAAACAGTTCTCTGATTTTATTCAAATGTAAAATGCTTTCAAAACTTAAGATGTGTATTATATGTCCCTCAACAGGATTACAGCAAATTGAGGATTCTTAATTATTTAAAAGACTGCTATTATTTAATAAAATATTCTCAAGTTATTAATACTTGATTATTGATATAGTAGAGGTGAAAACCCACAGAAAAATAAGAGTTCTTCTAAATCACTTAGAGAACTCAATATTTGAACAGGTTTTATACTTCTTTTTCCTTTCGTTGTGATCAATAAAAATCAACAAAACGTCAATACTGGCTAATACTAAAACATTTATAACGTATAACTAATAGAATGCATGGATATTCCCCTCCCTATTGCTACCAATGGAGTCCCATTGACATAATCTTTTTTTTGCCATCAAAGATAATATAAACCAACAGGAAACAAATGACCTTTCAAATATACCCAACAAAATGTTTCTTCTGCTGTTGAGTAATAACATGTCAAACATATCCACAAGTTTTAGAGTGAAGCGTCACCAGCACAATGAAAGTTTTCAATAGCCAACTGCCACCCAAAATTGTAAATGGCTATGTTTCAGTTTTATTTACACTCACAATAATATAGAGGCATAACCATAAGTTAACTACAAAAAGTAATAACCTGGGATGCAATGACTTAGTCACATTTGTAAAACTGAAAGCAAATTGGGAGCACAATTTTAAATCTGCTCTCAAATGTTGTTAAGGCCTTGAATTTACAAATTTTCTAGCAACCATAATTATTTCTAATCATTAAGTTTCATGAAGAGTGGCGCTGCTGATCTCTAGAAGTGTCAATTTCAATGAAGAAGAGTATGACTCATAAAAAGGAACATCCTCAATGTACCAGCTAATTTGGCCTCACCAAATTTTCCTTGCCAACTCCTAAAACAATCTGTCAAAACGTTGGTCCAATCTCTACTCAAGGACACTTCTTTACTGAAGTTACCAAAGTAGAGAGTAAGTTTGCTGAAAAGTACAATTACAATTCTAGGGAGGTGGCTTATATGCCACCTAAAGAATGACAACTCATTTGAGTGCAAATAAAAGTGATCACGAAGTAAATATTTTTGAACTGCTGCTACAGATGTAAAACCAACAAAAGCGTCCAACCATTTGGAAGACAACCTGATAATGTGCTTAATTCTTTTACACATTACCTTTTAGCACTAGTGGATAACTTAGCAGTGGTTTTGCTAGAGAGTTTGGTGTTTTTCTTCTGCTGGGTGGCAGAAGGTTTTCTTTCTTCTTGTTCTTCAGGCTCTGGAGCGGCTGGGTCTCGCTGGTCCGCATCTGAACTACCACTGCTGGTGCTGGGGCTCTCATCATCGGACCTTTGCCTATCACTGGACATCTTGGTGAAGTTATTTCTTGGAAAACTTTTAAAGAGAAAAGGAGGAGAGAAGGGAAATGTTAAGTCCAAGAAATAGACCAGGAGCATTTTCTTCTCTCAATATTCACCTAAAATTGTCATTTTAATGAAAACACTTCAAAGTGCTCACACTTATCTCATCACACAGCAAGGTTACAGGGGAGGTGATGTGTCTCACAACGCCAGCGTTCAAGGATTTACCGAACTCAAGTTAGAAAACCCACTCACATTTTTTTCCATCCCTTGGACAATCTATCAATTGTCTACTTTCTCAGAAGGCATGAAGCAGATTTGCCAGGGAACTTAGGCAACGAGCATTAATAACATATGACACACTGTAAATAACAGATCTCGCTGAAAAATGTTAAAAAGTCACTAATAACGTCTAAATATTTACACACTGACATTGGTCAAAGCTACCAAATTCCCTTTCCGAGAGGAAAACATACCCTGTTAATCGCCCATATGCTTATTTAAGGTGGCGATTCCTTCTCTGTGCACGTAAGCCTTTAAATACAACACTTAGGAATTTAAAAATCAACTAACAAGCTGCTCTAGCCGTTTCCACGGCCAGCA